AACCCATGTTCTTGTAGGGTATCTGATGGATGGTGATATACTATTTAGAACATGTTTTCACACACTTCTTTATAGTATAGATGATGGATGACTTTATACTATGAAGATGCTTTTGAAATACACACACACACACTTATGTTTGGAAAATCTATATTCAATGTTTTTGTGCGTATCTAGTGGTTTGCTTGAAGGCGATGATACTTATATTGGCTTCGTGCTGGGTGTAGGTTGGTGGCTTCGACTGTATGATACTGATACAGATACTACTAGTTAGTACACTATATACGAAATATGTTTTATGGAAGGTTTTATGGCATGCTAGAGTTTTCGAAGAAACCTATTACATATTATGCTATTTAGTTTTCATAAAACTTTAGGGGTTAGTATGTTGAATAACTATTTTACTATTATATATATCAAATTGGTCCACCCATGTTTGTTTTGCTCCCCCTTAGGACTTAGAATCGAGGCGTACAATCCCAGCGTCAAGGCATTTCCGCATTGGCATCTTCGAGTCTTCTCGGTGTAGGACCCAATCCTCTTATTCATTCAATTTTATGTTATTCTTTTTAGTGTTCTAGTTAGTTGTATGCTCTGAACACGTTCCTCAAATGCATGTTAATTCATTATATTTAAATTTATAAGTTTTATTTATTTCTTGTTCTTAGCATTTGCATGTAATAAATGGCTTGCGTCACCTTAGGGTGTTGGCCAACACGTGCCTATCGTAATGTTCAGGGAATATCGGGATCGGGGCATGTCAGGTTACCATTGGAATTTGATTTTTTTTTTTTTGTACGAATTTAAAAAAAAAATCTAATTTTTTTTCCTGTAAATACCTACACCATTCATATAACATTGAAAGCTAAAGATAAAAAGTGTCACGTGGATAAGAATCATATCTAAAATTTACATAACCAATTACCTCTCAACACGTGGTATTCAAAATCCTATCCGAAAAATTATTAAGATTACATAAAGATAAGAAATCTGGAGATTTACTCGATTTAGCGACACGTGTCACTTAAAATCCTATCCAAAAATTTATTGAGATTACATAAAGATAAGGAATTTAGAGAGTTACTCATGTTAGTAACACGTGTCACTCGAAATCGTATCCAAATTTTTTTTGAGATTATATAAAAATAAGAAATCCGAAGGCTTATTCATTTGGCGACAAACGTCACTCAAAATATGTCCAAAAACCTTATTTTAATATGGTAGTTTAATTTAATTAACCATATTAATTTAATTAAAATAATAAATTATGTTTGGCCTATGGCCCTTTGGCCCCCTCGGTTGGAGATGGTATAAAATATGGCATAACACTGTTCATTAAAATATAATTTCTTGCAAGGCTACAGGGCTAAAGGGAGTTCTTTGGCTCTTCTTTAGTTGGAGATAGCCTTATGTTGGGCCCACAACCAATGAATAAGAACGAGATGTACCTATAGCAAAACGTAGAGATTTTTCAATGAGTCCGAAACAAGTGCAAAACATTACATTCATTATAATGACATGTAATGTTTTGCTTCGTGTTTCGAGCACATTGAAAAATTACTCTGCAAAATGAAGAATATTTTGTAATTGACATAACAATTAATTTGACAATTTTTCTGGGAATTGTTATTAGCATTCCTAAAATCTCATTTGGCACTCCAAACTTTCTATAATTAGAAAGAAAAATACACTTGTGTGGAGTGTAGAATGAGATTTTTGGAGTACTAATAACAATTTTTTTTTTTTTTTTCACATAAATAATCTTCAAGCAGTGACTTAAAAGTTTACAATTTTCCGTTATGATATGCATTACAATCAAGTGAATAAGAAGGTGTACCTTTAAGAAATTCTTGTGTTCAATAGTTGGACCAAATAAACTGTTTGATTGACCTACCCACGAATAAATAGGCCCCTTTGTATTTAAGTATCACTCGACCTTATGTAGTTAAACAACCCGATGTAATGGTCTTTGTAAGCAACTCAGACAGTCCACTTGATACACTATCAGGCACATGAGTTATTCTGCACTTTGAGGTGCGAGAAGGACTTAGATGACACATGTACATTGTCATCATTTTGCCTCATGTTAATAATACAATGATATATGTAGGTGGTGCTATTTACACACTCGTTATTAATTTATATTCTTTAATCCTCTTCAATTCATTCGACCCAACGATCAAAGATTGAGAGGGATGTATGAAATGTAAAAGGCTGTGTATGTATGTAAACACGAAAAATTCAAATTTCGATGTCTACAATGTATAGCACCATTTATGTGTAAGTTTCGCTCTATATGACATTGTGTCATTAACCAGGAACGTCGCACTGACGGTATGTCTGTGCCATATATGTCACCCAATTGTATGGGCCAGAACTCTCCATTCAGTGAGGCCTAAATGCTGTCCAACGTCTCTTTCTTCCCTGCCTCAAATTTCTTATCTCCCTCTGTTTTTCCTCTCACCTTTTTGTTGTTGAATTCTCAGAAAAAAATCTTATCAGCGGAGAGAGAAAGTGTTCAAACATGAACACCTTAACTTCGACGTCTCTCTGCAACCTCCAAGTTTCAAGGTATCCTTCCACCGTTTCGAACCAGAGAAACGTTTCACCCTGCAATTCTCCACTTCCCGCCAAAATTTTCTTCAGACTTTATGCCAACGCCAACGAGCTGGATGCTCAGCCAGCACTGGAGGAACCAAAGCAAGAGGTGGAAAAAGCCGAGCCACACGAAGCTGGAAAATCCTCCACTTTCCCTGCTGCTGCTTCTCCACTCGACAAGGACCTCAAAAAGGTTGGATTTTTAAGCTTTTTGTTCAAATGGGTGTCCTGAAATGCAGTTTATATACAAGACTTTGTTTGTAAATTTACTTCTGAATTGTGAAATTGGGTAGTGAAAACGGAATTATTATGTCAAGTGGGTTGTTGAGAGTGTGAATCCCGCATCAAGAAAAACTTTCCATGCTCATATTATGATGTGGTTGTTGAAATGTCCCACATCGACCGTACCAATGAGAAAAGAAGAGTTTAAATATCCTAACTCCACTTCAACTAACACCGAGACCTTTTGTGATAAAACTCCACGATGGATTGTGCATGTGATAATTACCAACTTGGGACAGTATCGGTGTTGTTGGAAGTGGACCTTCAGCCTGTCTCTCTAATGATTCTACTCTGGTATCAGAGGCAATTTGCAAGATGTGATTTAGAGTTGGTTTAATGTGTGCTTTAGTGAGCCTAATGTGGGATTATGAATCGATTTGAGTTGAATTCGGGTGATCGAATTGAGTTGTGGAGTAAACTTGTGATTAACAACCAGTTCCAGTCCTCTGAACAATCATCAAATTCGACATGGTTAGATTGAAGGAGTTGTAAGCAAGGATTAAAGAGCTCTCCTCAAAAGAACCTCGTAATTTTCTGCAGTACTACAAATACAAGCTTTTTGCTTGTTACACTAATGAATTGGATGAAATTTAAGCCAAAAATCGGCATTGATTTCTACCCGAAAAAGCGTTTCACTTCGACCTGATTACCAGAAACATGAACAATGAACTGAGCTAGTAGAAGAAGCTAACAAGTAATGTACATTGGAGAATAGTCTGATTTCGGCTATTGTTTTCAAACATAATTTACCTACCTGCATTCCGTTTTGTTTTGCAGATAGAATACTGGTATGTTCGATTTCTCACAACGTTATACTTCCATTTCTTGTAACAAACAGGTTGTTCAGAAGACTGCTGCAACCTTTGCACCAAGGGCTTCCACAGCTTCCAAAAACCCTGCCGTGCCCGGCAGCACTTTGTACACTGTTTTCGAGGTTCAAGCCTATGCCTCCATGCTGCTAGGCGGAGTTCTGTCCTTCAATCTCATCTTTCCGTCAAATGAACCAGACATATGGAGATTAATGGGAATGTGGTCCATTTGGATGTTTAGTAAGTTATCCCCCCTATAAATTTACCTGCAAAGTTTCCTATGTGGTAAAGATATAGTGACTGAACAAAGAATTTAACCTTCTAATTTTGCAGCAATTCCTTCACTGCGCGCACGAGACTGCTCAAAAAATGAGAAGGAAGCTCTAAATTATCTCTTCCTCCTCGTCCCGTTACTCAATGTTACAATCCCATTCTTTATTAAGTCCTTTGCTGTCGTTTGGTCTGCTGATACCGTAGCCTTTTTCACCATGTATGCGTGGAAGGTACGTGATCAGAGATTCAGATGTTTACTTTAGGCATTCCTTTGTATAATTTGTGATATTTCTCTGCTGATGTAGTTAGTAACATACATTCTGTTCCTACAGCTTGGTTGGCTACAAACAAAAGACTAGGAATCCAAGTTGCTTGCTTTTTCAGATGAATAGATAGGCACATGATTATACGAAGTTTCTCGATGCTGATGGCTCGGAAGTATGAAGAGAGCTTGTACATTTACATGAAAAAAGTGGTGCTTGCCTCACTTGCAGCCTGCAGGAGCCAAACCCACCGTCAGACTTTGGGGAAATGCCGCAATAATGGACGCATTTGTTCATGTTCCGGCGATCTTGTTCATATAGGATGGATATTGACAAGAGAAAATATAGTTGAACAAAAGTTATGAAATGATAAATTTGTAGTTTTGTACATAGAAATACTGAATCGTTTCGCTGTTGTTCTTGCAACAACATAACAATGTCATTCGTACTTCTATTGGAATCTCAAAAAGTTACCGCATCAATTTGCTCCCTTGTCCTCACCAGAACTGTGTTCTGCTTAAGTTCACGATCGAACTCAAGACGAATTTGGTGTTTAAATAGAAAAACTCAAAAATTTACCCCATCAACAAAGAAAATCCATTGTGGAACTAACAAAATACTCGTGAAACAATACTCTCAACACGCGTCGTGCTTTGAGAAGGGTGGTGAGCAAATTCGGACTCAATTGGTTTCTAGCATCTTCCTCTTCCTTTACATTCTTGCTATATTAGCACATGTAAATACAATAACATCACAAGTACTTGCAAAAAAGAAAAAGTGTGTAATGCTTCAAATAAATAAATTTACTTTCACAATATAACATCCACAAAACTCTACTGGAAACCCCAATTTGAAAGGCCAAATTGAAGGTTGAGTGATCATTCTATTTCTATACATAATCGTCATCGCTATCATCATTGTAGTCAGAACCTGAATCGTCGCTCCTTGGTTCTGTGAGTGTATTCATATCAAATGACGGTAATGATTCCATCTCCTCCATGTCAATAGTGTCGTAGTCCATTCGTTGCGCAAACTTTTCATCAGAGCAGTTGAGAAGCCATCCGAGGGAGCATTTCAACCCTTTCTTTGAAACCATCTTATGTCTTGGTTTTATAGTCGATTCAAGACCGTAAGTAAAGAATGCAGGGAAAGCAACCAAGTCATCCAAAGGCCTTTGCATCTCTGTTTGAAAGAAATCAAAGCTGAGTTTCATGATGTCGAGATTCAAGGCAAGCAACTGGGGACACCTAACGACCATCTTCCTCACTTGCTCCAAGGAAAATCCACAATTCTTAAGGAAATCGACATGCTTCATCATAGGTCTATCACTGAGGCTAACAACCTGAGGCATCTTCTCAACAACTCTGCCAAAGTCCTCGGGTTCCAAATCAATTACTGACTTGAGCGAACTTTGTTGACTGAGAAGCTTAGGCTTGAGATCAATTCCTATGATCTCAGGATATTGTGCCACTACAGAAGCAAGTGATTCTTCTCGAACGCAAAACTCCAAAAGGGATTGAATATTTGGTTTCACCCTCTCCTCCAATCCAAACCCAAGGATGTGAGGCCGCTTTTCTATCAGTCTAGCCACACCTAGTCTTGGAATACCCAACTTTTCAAGATATTCAACAAACGGCTTGATCACCCTACCAACACGCATCCCTAAAATCTCCGGGTATCTAGTTAAAACTCCGCCAATCTCCCTTCTTGCAACCCCAATTCCAACTAAGTAAGCCACTGAAGTGCTCATGGTCCCCTCAAGCTTGAATCCCAGCACTTCTGGATATTTCTCAAGAACCCGAGGAATGTCATCGGGTTTGATATCCATTCCTTGAAGATACTTGACCACTGGTGAAAGGTCAATAACAACACTAGCATGCAGGACTTGTGGATATCTTCTCAAGAACTCAGTGAATGTGGATTTCCTAACACCCAACTTCCCAAGATAATCGAGCACAGGAATCATGTTTTTCTTCACACTGCAGCCAAGAACAAGTGGATAGTTGTTAATGTCTTCGATTGTAAGCCCAAGATTGTGAAGAAAATCCACACGTTCCCTCATAACTTCGACTGTAACAGGAAGCTCCAATCCATCAAGCTCATCAGGGACAATACCAATTCCTCGCAAGAAATCATAAACCCGGGCACGATTTTCCATCCTTTCATTCTTCATATCTAACAGACTAGGACGACTGTATAAGGATGAAGAACCTCTTTCTCTCCTACCTAAACGAGTGGTGTTTGGATTTGAAACCGACGAATCCTTATAACTGCTTTCTGACCTTCTACCAGAAACAGAATACTGACACCTTGTTATCAACCCAATCAACTTCTCTCGGTTGCAAAGCGTGGATATAGAATCGAATCCGGGCTTAAGAGATGTAAGTGCTGGTAACTCTGAATGCACAAGCAAAAAGCTGGGCTTCGTAATACCAGCATAGCATCTGATCTTCATACTTCCAGATTTAAAACTACCAACACGCCTGCGAAAAACGAAGGCACAACTCAAATACAAAATAGTACACAGCAGAGAACAGCATGATAATCTTGTTCATCAAAGAAAATCTACTAATACAACATGATAATCTTGTTATTTTCTTACGTTTGACTTACAATTCAGCAACCAAAAGAGTCTTAATTTTCATTTGTGAGACAAATTTCTACAAAAATACATAAAAAGGAATACAATTTTCATACCGTAGGCACCAAAAAAACTTTGGGTTCTACCATTTACATCCAAAAATACATAATACGAAGAATTTAGCTTTTCTCAGTAGCAAAAGCCGGACAGCAGAAAGTTCAGCTTCTTTCAGAAGCAGACAGTAAAAAGCCACCCAAGACACAAACTTTTGAGAAAACCCAATTATCCATTTCTCATTTAATCTCCATTTTCGTAAGCGAAATGCTCGTTAACTTGAACAAAGTTGCAGAGAAGGAAGAATAAGAAGTAGCTGACCTGTTCGTGGAGTCGGCTGGCTCTGGCTGAGAATTGGGTAACCTGCTTATCCAGAGAGCAGCTGAGAGAGACCGACTCAACAATGGTAGTCAGCTCAGTGGAGCAGCAGCTGTGTAAACACTGGTCTCCTCCTCCGTCTTAAAGCCTAAACCTTTGGCAAGGGAACTGGTCTGGTTTGCCTTATCCCATAAAAGTGCTTTTGGGCCTGAACGTGTTTTTGGTCCTGAACGTGCTTTTGGGCCTGCGGAAACCCAACATAAAGTTACAACCAACCACACTCCCCTCAAATAATTAGAAACAGAAAATCACTTAAGCACACCCCAGGATAAAGATGCAGAGAAAGTAGAAGTTGTGGAAGGAACGAGAAAATGGCAGGCCCTTCTTCTCTTACTATCTTTTTCTTCTTCAGCTTGCTGTTCTTCTCTGAGATATCTGAAGCGTCCAAATGCTCACTCAAAGGTAAAGGTCCTTCTTAATCTTTCATTAATTTATACAATTCGTGCTTCAAATCTCCATTTTTTAATCAAAGAGTATTAACAGTTGTTTTCTTAATCATGGGTTTATGGTTAATCAGCAATTGATTCATGATTAATGTCTCTGATGGTGTTTGATTCTGTACTTTTCTGGGGATTTTGAGCTTTCCCATATGGTGAAATCTTCCACTTTCTTATATCCCTCGATCGTGGGCTAATATGCTTATTAATGATATAGACTAAGCTAATTAACTGTTTCATTGTTAGTGTATATTTTGATGGTGAGTAAATTGTTGCAATGGTCCCTTCCTTTAATTAAATTGGGACCATGGTCCTTCAACTAAAAATCCATTATCATTGGTCACTAACTCATCAAAGTGTGTAGCTTTGGTCATTTTCGTCAAATTCGTTAAAATTTTGTCAAAATAAGTTATATTCGAAGAAGCATTACTACAATTAAGGTCCCTCAATTCATCAAAACGTGTAGCTATGATCATTTTCGTCAATTTCGTCATAATTTTGTCAAAATGAGTTAGGTTGGAAGGACCATTGTTATAATTGGGTTAAATTTGAGGGACCTATTGCTCCAATTAGGGTTAAAGTTGAGGGAACATTTCTCTAGTTGGATTAAAGTTGAGGGACCAATGGTAATGGATTTTTAGTTGAGGGACCATTGCTCCAACTGAGTTAAAGTTAAAGGACCGTTGCTACAATTTACTCTCTTATGGTTAATGAGCATTTGATTCATGATTAATGTCTCTAATGGTGTTTGATTCTGTTTTCTTCTCCTTTTGAACTTGATATTTTGGTTGTTTCTTGGGAATTCTGAGCTTGCCCAAATGGTGAAATCTTCCACTTTCTTATATCTTTCGGATTGTGGATAATATGCTTAATAGTGATATGAATTAAGCTAATTAACTATTATATTGCTGAAATGGTATATATTCGATGCAGGGTTACCTATAGTAAGAAATATCAGTGAGCTTCCGCAGGATAACTATGGAAGGGGTGGTTTGGCACACACAACTGTTGCTGGTTCACTCTTGCATGGGTTGAAAGAGGTATTGGGTGCACCATTACACCGTTGTTTTTGAGAATTTACTGTTCTTGTGATCTTGTGGCTTAGAGGACCTATACCATTTGATTTGCACTATGATCTTCAAAAATATTTAACTGAAAGTTGTCCGATAATATAATTGTTCGTGTTGATGATCTTTTGAGAAGTATATCCGCTATCATCGAAAACCACCGATGTTTTTGAGCTTGTCGTTCTTTCCTCTGTCAACATCTTATTTTGTGATAAAACAAGATATAAATTTGCAAAATCGTTTGGGAGACATGATATATGATGCAATTTATTGGGTTCACAGGTCGAGGTTTGGCTACAAACATATGCTCCAGGATCAGGCACACCAATACACAGGCATTCTTGTGATGAAGTTTTTGTTGTCCTAAAGGGAAGTGGAACTCTCTACCTTGCACCAAGCTCGCACGAGAAGTTCCCTGGAAAGCCACAAGAGTTCTCTATCTTTGCAAATAGTACATTTCACATACCTGTTAACGATGTTCACCAGGTAAACCCAAGCATTCTACGCTTAATATGTTTTATTTTTCTCCGCTATGCAATTCACAACTTACACACTGCTTTGCAGGTCCGGAATACAAATGAACATGAGGATTTGCAAGTACTTGTCACCATATCTCGTCCGCCAGTTAAAGTGTATGCAAACTACCTTCTTTCATCTTCTGTGTTTAATATCATCTATTGCTTCTTCAACTTCAGTCCTGTGTCAAACAGAGCACCGTGATATGATGCAGATGCATTCTTTCGCGTTCTCATGCTGGGTTATTTGTTTCTTCTTTTTCGGGTTTTATTCGGGTTCAACATTAGTACACTAATATTCTTTTTTGTTCATATTGCTTGAATGATACTTCTAAGTTCTACCCTTGGTTTCAGGTTCATATATCAGGACTGGTTCATGCCACACACTGCAGCAAAGTTAAAGTACCCCTACTATTGGGATGAAGAATGCCTCGAAGTCGAACCACCACCAAAGGATGAGCTATGATATCTTAGAAACGTCGCAAACAACCGTTGTAAATCATCTAGTCTCATTATCGTTCGAAAAAGACATTGAGAATAGAGTTTTGATTTCAATGTACATTTCGCAATTTGCAAAACGACGAGTAACTGGGATGAAAGACTGATGAAAATTGTGATACACATGTAGAGATTTCAAACGATAGAAATTTTCTGTTTACTGGAAAGACTCTTGAATACAGATTACATTCGTTAGACAACAAATCGTCACTTCTTTTTAGTCATGCTTCGGCGTACAGCTTCCTTCTCTGCAACCAGAACACAAACCTCTGCACCAAGCATTTCATGTATATCTACGTTTATAGAACTGCTCAAATCAACCGTCTCCATGATCACTTCTACAGTAATATTTATGCCTAAAGCAGGCAATACGCGGATAGCATTTGCGGTCCTGCATATGCTCTCTCTTGTCTGTTGGGGAGTGTAGTTTTTCTCCTGATCTTCGGGACTAAAGGAATTTTTATCGGCTTTGATAGCATCTTGTTCTGACTTGTGATCCACTACCATATCATCGGTAACTTCAATGCGTTCACCAACCCAGATGAAACCATTACAGCCGAGTATCAGGTCAATGCCATAGTTTTCTAAGTGATGGAAGTGCTGCTTTCGTCGTTTTACTAGATAAGAAGGAACTGTGAGCAACTGACCCCTTCCAAGCTGCAAAGCAGGTTACAAGCATGGTGAGAAATACTAACAAATGATGGATACTCACAAGACCATGGATGGAACGAAAGCAATGCAAGATAAAATTGAAAGGAAAGCAACAACGATGGAGAGAATATCGAACCTTTCCGTACTTCTGACTTCTTGCTTGGAGATGTAAACCATCATGTTGAAAACCACGAACTTCAGCCTGGAAAAGGGCAAGTATTTGTAACAATTGACCAAGTCTTAATTTGTTCCTTTTTTCTATTCAACTAGGCCAGTAATACGTGTTACATGACTTACACAAATGACATCGTTCTCTTCCAAAATGCTGCGCACGTTGAGTTCATCCAGAGCAGTTTGCCGCCTCTAGCAATTGAAAGAGTGAAACTTAAGTAAGGGATTGTAACCCTAAATTTACAGTAGTGGAAAATCCAAATTGATCCAAACATGTCTCCGTTTCAAGAGTGGGTGATGGTGGAAATACGCCACTTCTATTGAAAAGGAGTTCAAATTATCTAAATAAATAGAATACATAATGAATAAAAGGGTTCAGTAGCGTTCAGATTGATAACCAAAAGTTCAAACTAAGAAAATCTAGATCATCTAACAGATTCAAATACAGCAATATGAATCGATAGAACAGAATTCCATGCTTTGTGTCAAATATGTCCAACGGTAAATTGGCATTCCTTTGTTCCATCTCGGGGTTATCTTTGGCCCTAATCCACAAAACTGTAAATAGTGGACAATGTACTGAACAACGAACTAGTTAGCATTCTTCTTGAAAACTGTTTTACACCACTCCGAGTCACTTATCTAGCAACACTACAAATTGCATATCTGGTAAAAGAAACTTATCGCTACTGATGCATGCTGCGAACTTGGGCTAACAGTTATACCTGGATGCCGTCAGGTAAGTTCATCGATGAAAGCATCAACACTGCATCATGGCTATAGTTTATCTCCACTCTCCAACGTTTCGGAGCAACCTGCACAATATTAATCTTCAGATCACAAAAACAGACACATAAAACCAACATACACAACAAAGAAAGCAAATTAAATCATCGAAAATCAAACTTTCGATAAAATTACGAAAGGTAGTTCAGCATTCCGGTTTTTACCTCAATTACACGCCCCACTATGATATCTCCAACCTCTGGTTTGTACCAACCATAATTTTCGTTTTTCGAAAATTCATTAAGCGCCAATGATCAAAATTTCAACAAAAATTAACAAAAAATCAAACTTTCAAATTCTTAGAAAACCAAATAATTAAACACTTAATTACTATGTACCTGGCCCTTAAAGAACGCACATAAACCAGCTTACTGACTCTCTCGACGACCCCGCGAACCGTCGCAACAACTTCCCCATTGACCTCAGAGGTCCCATGTCCCCTGAATCCACAAGAAATCTAAGATACCCAGAAATTATTTTACAGATAAAATAAAATTTTGTAGAAAAACCAAGTCAAAAATCACCAAATCAGAGCATTCTAGAGAGAGAAAGAGAGCGGGGTACTTGAGAAGGCCGTCTTCGTAGTTAACGGGGATGGAGTCCGCGACGGTGACGGGGGCGTTGGAATTGGCCTTTGAAGACAAAGACTCGAGCTTTTCGAGAGCTCTCTGTAGCCGAACCTTCTGGGTTTGGTTCAGCGAAAGCTGTATATCTTCATCTTTCTCGCTGTGGAAGAGAGAGCGAGAGAGAGAGAGGAGAAAAACCCTGAACCCTGGCCTGAGTTCCCAGATCGTTGCATGGATTGGAAGGCAATGAATGGGCCTCACGTTTTAAGGCCCAGTTAAGAAATGATGAAAATAAGCCCACATTAGATGACGTCGTTTCTGACATGTTTACTTACATAAATTGAGAATATATTATAAAAAATAAAAATAAAAAAATTTGAAATAGGTCCAATTTTATAGACTACCTTTTGAAATAGGTCTAATTTTTAGTAACTTTTGACTTTTGAAATAGGTTTAATTTTTAGTTACTTTGGACTCATTTCAAAAAACCCCTATAAAAAATAAAAAATTAAAAAAAAAAACCTAAGGGACGGGTTAAGTGAAATATGCTTAGTTTGAGTTTGATTTTCATGAGTCCGATGTTGAGGTTCTCAGTTGTCGGAAAATAATAGTTTTTCAAGTTTATTTTTTACTGCTTGGGTTTTTCTATAGTTTAGAATTTGAACCTAACTCGTTAGAATTAGGTTTTATTTAGAAATTAAAATTTAGTTATTATAAATAAGATGCTTATTATTCACTTGTGCGTAATATATGCTTGATTTTGGGACATGGGGTCTTACGTACCATAACTAATAACCTTACCTTTTTACACATAAAAATCCCCCTCTCCTCCTCCGAGCAATCTTCTCTTCCTCACAATCCCACCAACCTCCATCCTCCCCCCAAATTTTTTATTTTCAATCATTAATCTCTAACCTCTCCCCTAAACCGTCTCTCAACCAGCCTAGCTATGGCTACCACTCTCCCTCATCCTCCTATTCTTCCTTGACCCCCTCAAGGGCCTCCACCACCTTCTTCTACCATTAAGGGCAGGATGGCCGCCTCATTGACATCGCATGGCCTCCTGTCTCTCCTCCTCCTCCTTCTCATCTTCCTCCACTGCCCCACCCACGGGGCCGCCACCACAGGCATCCGCCTTGGCATCATCCGGAAAATTTCTCCGGATGTTGCCATTTTTCGAGAAGCTCCAGCTTTTCGAAATGGGGATGTTTGCGAGCATGAAGAGAAAATTCACATTGCCATGACACTTGACTCCAATTACCTAAGAGGCACCATGGCGGCTGTGCTTTCAATCCTGCAACACTCGACGTGCCCAGAGATTGTCGAGTTCCACTTTCTCTGGGCACGGTTCGAGCCCGAGGTGCTCTCCAACATCAAATCCACCTTCCCCTACCTCAAATTCAACGTCTACCGCTTCGATTCAAAGAGGGTACGTGGGAAAATATCAAAGTCGATACGCCAAGCCTTGGACCAACCCTTAAACTATGCACGTATTTACCTAGCCGACATAATCCCAGTTGAGGTGAAAAGGGTTCTATACCTAGACTCGGACCTTGTGGTTGTGGATGACGTGGCAAAGTTATGGAAGGTTGACTTGCAAGGCAAGGTATTGGCAGCGCCTGAATATTGCCATGCAAACTTCACCCAATATTTCACAGAATCGTTCTGGTCCGACAACGAAATGTCCAAAACGTTTGAGGGCAGAAATCCTTGCTATTTCAACACAGGGGTGATGGTGGTGGACGTGGATAAATGGAGACAAGGTGGGTACACTAAGAAAATGGAGGAGTGGATGCTGGTGCAGAAGCAGAAGCGAATTTACCATTTGGGGTCTTTGCCGCCGTTTTTGTTGGTTTTGGCTGGCGACATCACGGCTGTTCATCACAGGTGGAACCAGCATGGACTTGGTGGGGACAATCTCGAAGGCAAGTGTAGGAGTTTGCATCCTGGCCCTATAAGCTTGTTGCATTGGAGTGGGAAGGGCAAGCCCTGGTTGAGGTTAGATTCAAGAAAGCCCTGCACCGTTGATCATCTGTGGGCCCCCTATGATCTCTACCGTTCATCAGCTCATTATTTTGAAGAATGAGAGATGATGAGATCAACGGTGTGGGAAGAGCAAGAAGGTGAGAAATAGTTTTGGAGTAAAAAATTTGGGTCAAGGGGGATAAGGGAGTTTGATTAACTAGAAGAGCAAGAAGGTGAGAAAATGGTCACTGGGTAAGTTGCTATCCTTTTTCTTTTTACCTTTTAATATTTATCCTAGACCAAGTAAAAATAAAAAATAAAAAGCAAGAAAAAGTATAGAAACAAAAGTAAAACTTTAGGGAGTAAATTAATTTGGGCTAAGGCTGGTTAATTGCAAGGAGGGCATATATTTACTTAAAGGAAACACATGGAAGAGGAAGAAGACTTCACAGTGTTTGAGTTATTTTTTCTTCTTCCGATGGAAATGTTATCAGCATAGCTTTCGACCACCGGAAGATCCTCTTACCGGAGTTTTATGGCGGCCCTCAACGTTATTTGTTTAAATATGGAATGATGTCTCCATATCCAGTTTAGTGTATAATTAAGTTTATTTAGCCTAACAATATGTTGGTACATTTTTGTTTTCCTTATTTCATTTTTGGTACAGTTTTTCTTGTACCTTCTTGTAGCATCTTATAGTTTGATGAGATGAAGAGCAATTGAGCCTCCAAAATTTATCAAAAACTAACTCTTTCTACCACCAAACAAGGCTCCCAATTCCCAAATTTTGATGGGAGTCATTTGGTAATTCAATTAGAAATATCCAGTCTTGGATAGGGTATTGCTATCCACACATCATTTTTATTTCTCACACACCCTTCTTAATTTTCGTCATTAGATCGAACAAATTGAAAAAGATCAGTGGCAAAAAATTAACAATGTGTGGTGGAGGTAAAAATGGGTATGTGAATAACACTTTCCCTCATATATCCTCCACCATTTCAATTTTTATTTTTGTTGTTTTGTTATATATGATTCCTTTTCCCTCACGGTTTCAATGTTGAATGTTGATATGAATTCGTTTCGTGGACCAAATGGTCACACTGAACAAACTTAGCTAATGCCTTCTTATCAAGAAATTTAAAAACTTTCAGTATAACAATGACATAATCACATAATGTTCTAAATTCAAATGTTGTAATTTGAGTGAACAAAAAATTGGACAATTTTTAGTTCACCCTTTGCACTCGGCTGCGAATTCTCATGTTACATTGATTTGACTCATTTGAGCATAGCCATTTCATCTCTCGGAAGCTCTTGTGACTACCCAATAATCTCAGTAATTGCAAGTTGCAACCCCAGTGTGCACTGCAGCCCGACGAGCCACCATGCCAGCCGCCACATATGACATATAGCTAGGGCTAAGACTTACTCGGCTCAATGCCATTGTTCCTCCTCATAGCTTCCTTTCTACTCTGAATAAAAGCTTTTGATTTTTCGTCTTCGATCTCCATTGCTAGTGTCAACTTTTCACTACTCATTGCACCCTTTTCCTTTCTTCTTCTCATTTTTCTCTTTATCTAGTTTTGGTACATCCTCAATGCTCGAAACATCATGTTGCTTTGTGTCCGGAAACATTGCCCTCCACTGGTTCACCTACCTTGTCAATCTGCGTCCATCATCGGTTTGCTTGGAGTGAACTTGAATCTGAATATACCTGAATCCTTCTTGCGCGTTTGATGAGCCTCATGAAGGTACGTTTTCTCAACCCCATTAGGGTTAGCAGCTGGAGCCATAGGCTGTTCGTCTTGAGGCATCGGATGACCTAACGTTACTTGCTTAACATGGCGTCTAGCAACAAGGCTATTCACAATGAAGGTGAAGAACCTATGGAAAAAGCCAATAGGCTGCGTACGATTGAGCTTCTCCTGCACTGCACGACTTTTTAACAAATCTTAGGAATTATGATTAGGGTAATGCTCCTACATATAAAATTTGGTGTCTTACCTCTATCAGAGCGATGATTTAGATGTGGTCTATAAAATGTAGTCTTTCTAGCATTTTTTGCTGCGATTTATACATCATACATATATATTAGTCAATTAAATATAGACTCGTTTTTAGAATGTGCCATTTTATTTCGACAAGTATAAACTGTATGCGATGAAAATTACAGATATATACACAAATCCACAAACATCTTGGAGGAGTCTCTTGATAGACTTTTCATTGTGCTAGACGATACTACTTTTATAGCCTAACAACCCAACTCATGGAATATACAACCCCATATGGGGAAGATCCGACATGAAGGTTTCAGACCTTCGTGTCGATGTGAGTTCTTGGAACAATAACTTTACAACATTATTTTTTATTTTTAATATTTTTGATACAATGATATATTTATATTCAGGAGGTGAGAGGCTTAGGCTAAGTCGGACCTTGCGATAATAATCGGAACCGACAGATCACTACGCTCTACCTTCGTCCCTGCTTGATAGGTGGGTCTATCACAAAGCATTGGGCCTACAGTCCATTCTTTATGTTGGGCCCATCTCCATAGTTAAAGCCCAAACACCAAGCTAGACATTGGCCACCCAAGTGACCCAACTCACTGATGTGCGCACTACACTTCAAGCGCACGTTAACATCCCTAAATTCCCATTTTCTTCTTCTACGGTACTCCAACCCCTCTCTCTCTCTTGCAATTTTCTGGTAATTCCCAATCCCTCTGCTTTCCCAATTTTTCCTCCATGAATTTCTTCAAATCCGTATTCTCCGACGACCCAGATCCCCTATACCCCGAATCCGAATCTGAATCCGAATCCCCAACGACTCAACCCAATCCCAACCCTACGGCAACACCGGCGGATGGAATTTCGGCGATCTGATCAAAACCCTAGCGACCAAATCCGAGTCGGTGATTGAGACCTACCGCCGCGACCTGCAGGAATTCGGGTCGGGTCTAAAGAAAGAGATCGAGGTGGCTCAGGGGTCGTTGGAGGACGGTGGGGCACGTCATCGATGAGTTCGGGAACACAGTGCTGAAAGGGACGGCCGAGATCATCGCTCAGGGCAAGGACGCGATCCTTGCCGACGACGAATTGGATTCCTCGGACGCCAAAGATCAAAGCTTTAGTTCTCAGCAGGGCTTGAATTCGAAACGGTACAGTAGGTTTGACGCGCAGGTGCGTGCGATTCAGGGTGACCCTAGCACTTACTGCGAGGAGCCTGAGGATTTGGATGATTACGAAAAATGGAAATCTGGGTTTGATCTGGAGGAGAAAGGTGACGAAATCGAGAGGCTTTTCAAAGAAAACGGAGCTATGGAGGGGATTTACAAAAGGGTTGTTTCGAATAGCGTTGATCACGAAAGCTTTTGGTGTAGTTACTTTTATAGGGTTTATAAGCTGAGGCAGGCTGAGGAAGTGAGAGTGAATCTCGTTAAGCGGGCAATTTCGGTCGAGGAGGATGAGGAGTTAAGTTGGGATGTTGATGATGATGAGTCTGATGACAATGTGAGCAATGTGGTGTCGAAAGAGAATTCGGGGAAAAGTACTGAAGTGGCTGCTGAAGGTTCTGGTAAAGATGGGAGAGTTGAGGACTTGAGGGTTGGGAATGAGGTTGGAGAGAAGAGTTCCAATAATGCGGGAGAGGGGAGCAGTGTTAGTGAAGAGACTAATGTGGTGTCGAAGAAGGGCGATTTAGCAGCGAATAGCGAATTGGTCAGCAAAGATTCTGAGCAAAAGATTGTTATGGAAGAGAGCAGCCATGTTGGGGAATCTCAAGTTGTTGATCAGAAGAAGGGTAGTGCTGTGGAGTTGAGTGGCGAAAAGGAGTCCAAAAAGAAAATGCAGGTAGAAGGGGATTCCGGGAAGAAAGATTTACCATTGAAATTGGAGGAGAAAGCGGCAGTGGAGGGAAGAAGAATGGGGCTGCTGAATCCGGTAAAGGCAATGAAACGCCGGAGGCAGAAGACCTTGGGTGGGATGAGATTGAGGATCTTAGCAGCATTGATGATAAAAAAGTTAGCCATGGTGGTGGAAGTGGAAGTCCTACTGATAAAGCCGAGCTCCGAAAGCGGCTCAGTACTGCAGCTGAAGAAGAAGAAGAAGATTTAAGCTGGGATATTGAGGAGGATGATGATGATGTACCAGCTAAAACTTGAGTAGCAAGTAAATTTGAAAGTTCTTGGTTCTTAAATTTAGTGCACGAAATTTTTTGTACTCCCCCAATTTGTTTTTGTAAGTGTAATATATGTAAGGGGGGATTCTTTTAAAATTTTCCCTTTTGTTTTATAGTCAGTTTGTTTAAAATGCAAATAGGTTCCTTTATATCTGAGACTTCCTTAGCAAAAGTTATCTAGATATTGTTGGATAATGACTTAGTAGGAACGTCTAACTACGTCATAAGCATCTCTTGTGAAAACTCGAGAGTTTCTGTGTTTCGGTCCCACCTGGTGCGAGAGATACCCTAATCAAACAGCACGACTAAAGCAACACATCCGAAGGAAATCAGGAGGTTTCTCGAACAACATGCATTCCAAATCATGTGCTAGATCTATTTATGAAGCGCGGTTTTCACGTTTTTAATGTGAATTATATGCAGTCCCTTCTGCGGCATTTGCACTGAACAGATGCCCACAATGTAGTCCCGGGTTCTAATACTGTCAACAGAGCTGGCAGTTTCTCATCCAAGAGAAAGTTGTTGCATATGCTTATATGCCTACCTAACCCCTTCTTCTATTGACTCATTGGTGCAGTAAGTAGTAACTGTGAATTGATATTGCGCAGTGTAATGTGGAAAGCATGCAGATTTTTCCCCACTGATGAAGGATCTTGATGCCCCTTAGAATCCTTTGTTTTGACAGAAATAAGTTAGGTTCAGCCCCTTTTCAAATCGCTCCGTGAAGACTGACTTCCAGAAAGGTTATCGAGATTATCAATCTTTTAAGTGGGAAGGGAGCGAGACCAAGCCGAGCCACAGAGTAAGCCCTTCCCACGTGTCAAAATGAATGCAGCCTCAACCAGAAAGGTCAACCTGCGCCTTCGATTTAAGGTTCAAAACTCTCCAATATAATTTAAAAAGGACGAATTTGCAATAATAGTTTTTAATGCGGTTTTTTTGTTGTGTTATGTTTCTTTTTCCACTCTTGGTTTCAATGTAATGTACTAATGGCCCTGAATCCGCCAGGGACGTTGTTTAGCGCATTTGCCCTTGCACTGGAAGTCTTGTGTTTGGATCCCTTTCACCTAAATATCGCTTGTATAAAAAATTGCGGCTATGAATTGAAGGAAAGGATCTTGTGAATAAAATAGTTTAATCCGTCAATGAAAAACTTTCAACATAATACAAAATTCAGCTCCTTTTACTTGAGCTAAAATTCACACCCCACAATTTTGATACCCTACTAAATCTGAAGGCCATACACCATCCAAGAAAAAAGTACTGTAACTCATCTAACAACACCTAGGCTTTGTTTGTACAACAAGAAAAGATTCCTGTAGAACACAAGAGAGAACGTGAACGCAAACTTTGCTGATTCATATGATTTTTGGACCCAGGGCTGTCTCTGGCTAACTTCGGACCTTCGTTCTTCCATTAGACACTGATGCTGGGCTCAGAAGTGGACTCTGCCACATGTGTTTCTGCTGGGGAAGGGAGTGCCATAAGCCGTCCCTTTTGGGCGCGAGGTGGAAGATGCTTTGCTGATTTTCTTGACCCCCTGGTCCAGGGCAAGAAAACCCCGGTACCACTTTGAGGAACTTTTTGAGGGCTCGTTACCATAGGACGAACGGGGGTTAGCATGACTACACCCCATTTGGGCATCACATCCATTGCCTCATAACCATTGAGAGCTGCTCCATCTGGCACCGCGTATGGGCTCACCATCCCAGGTTGCCATAGAGTCATGGCACCATTGTGGGTTGGACTTTGGGGAGACTGGAACTGGTTGGAGTCTACTCGGACTCTGAAGAATGTGATGCTCACCCTTCTGTTTGGAGATGGACACATCACGTGTCGTGACATGTCAGCACTGTTTCCCCTCATGACTAAAAGGGACCTGCAGAAGTTAAACATTCAACGTTTTCGCTTTTCAATCACCGTGAAAAGATAAGTGAAACTGAAAGAACTAAGAGTACATACCCTTGTTTCAGCGATAGCATCAGCGGCCCCTTGTAGTTCCCATCATTATCACTCAGAAGGGTGCGCCCGAAAGCCATTGCTGATTCAGAGAGGAGAAGAGTGGCGATGGGCTGGTCCAAATGGGGTGGTTTCAGGAATGGCTGTGAATATTCTCCCTACAAAAAGAAATGATTGCCATTAGAACTGTTTCTCTCTTAAATTAAAAAGAAAGTGCATAAACAAAGACTCATAACACAAACCAATGCCGTGAAGCGCCCTCTTTGCTGCTATGTTCTAGTAAACAGTAACAGAGGCGGTAACATGACAATGCAGCAAGCAAAACATAGAATACCTCCTCAAAGAAGTTGATGATGCAACCATTCGGTCGTTTATACTCCGGAATTAACTGCCATAGTACAAAGTGATCAATCACATCTTCGAGAAGAGCTGGAATCGGCCCTATATTGTCTATAAAAACAAATTAAAGTTAGCTTCGGTATTTAGAATAAGGCCCTGTCCGAATTTGACAAACTGAATGACATTTATCAAATAGTTGAAGTATGCATTACTAGTTTCGGTTATTACTTGTAGTGTCCTCCTTGATCTGCCCGAAAATTGGAACGCCAAACTGAATCAGCTCTCTCCTGTTTCCCTTAACCTGCTTGTTGAACAAAATGAAGGTCTCGCCTGTATTCAGTCAAGAAGATAAGAGTTAGATTCTTGAATGAATACTGATAACTTAGATTAGCCTTTCCTATGTTAAAAATTGAGTTAGCCTCGATAAAGCTACATGGAAATGATTTCACATTCAAACTTCAGAAGCGAATTTTTTAAAGAACAAATGGATATCTACAATTATCCCCAATACACAAAACGACATAATAGAACAATGTATAAGACCACATTGAACAAGATACAACCCAGGATGAGTTTCACAAACAAGGGATTCCTTTACCTGAAAGCTCTCCATTAAGTCCAGCCGCGTGGAGATCATTTACGAAGTCAGTCAATTTGCAGAGTTCGGTGTCAGTGAATATGTCCTCGTATAGCTTTAACCCTTTCACAACATTCACCTGCCAGTTTCGGTTATCTGCTAGTCAGTAATAGCTACCTGATTTTCTTACCAGAATATACAGCATAACCAACTCTTTCACTTCTCTCTTGTACAGGTAATATTAGATTGAAGAAATAACTCACCATACGCCCTCTGACCAACTCCTTTGCTGAGAAACCTTTAGTCAATTTGATCTGGGTACGACGCTCCTCACACTCGTCATGATTAGAGCATATCTCGTCGTTTACTGAATTGAGCTGCGCTTCTTGTGAACCTGCAGTAAAAGTATGCAATCGAATTGTTAAAAAAAATGCAATCGATAATCATATGAACTCACTAGCAATAAATCAAAATTAGTAACAGTTGCACAAGTTAAACAACCAATTATTCACGTAAACATTCACATACTACAAAGGGAGAAATACAATGAGGTTATTTAACAAAGGCGAAATCTAAGACAGACCAACTGATCTAAAAACCAGTTGGTTTATGTTGTTCCGAAGTCAGCTAGCGTATAATTAAGTAACAAACTAGAATCTATCTATATGCCAAAATAGCTATCAAACAGAAATGATGCAAAGTTTCCATCAAATTCAAGTCTACGAACATCGCATTTGCAATAGATCAGTGATACTCATGTATTGTACGCAAAGATTTGAAACATAACTGAACAAGTGTGTTTTTTTTACTGTTAATACCGTAAATCATGTATAATCGTTTCTATATACCAATTTAACTGTTAGTACCATGAATCAGGCGGTACATAATAAACTAAACAACAAATTTTAACTTCATTTGTAATTGATTTGCAATACTAGACCCTTCATAACTGATAAAAAAATCCACAAAGAATTGAATTAGCTTCTATGATTGTGGAATGTGCATCTTGAACACAATTTCTAAAACATAAAAATGGTGATATGGCCATTTTATTCCTGATAAACCAATGCTTCCACCTGCCGTTCATAAGTGCTTTTACAAAATGCAAAAGCTAGCGCTACTCACCACGCACAACCAAATAGGCACGACACAATAACAAACAAAAATGCAGTAAAGCTACACGCAACGCACCACTATAAGCATTCAGAATATCGGAATCTTGAATAGTGGATTCGGGTGTCCGAACATAAGAACACCCGAGCCAGTTGGTATTCACACATAGCCATACATTACTCGAAACTTGCACGAATATAAAAACTACATATGCACGATTAACACATTAAATCGTCCTTTTAGTTTTGGCCAACATGTGCACGATTATATACACTACTCAAATTTGAACCTATTCATTATTATTTTTTAGTGTGACGGAACATGACATAATACAAATGATTGAATATTTGGGTAAAAATATTTACGACCAGTAATATGTCATTTAATTTACGGAGCTGCATTTCTGGCATCTTGAAAATCTCTGGATCTTTTTCCTGGGGATTCTATGATCGTAACTGTTCATCGTGTGATCAAAAATCATTTCAAAATTTAAAATTTAAAACTAAATATAAATAGTACTTAATGAAAAATTAATCACACGATGTACAATGAACGGTCACGATCACAGAATTCCTAAGATCCCTAGGAAAGAATCCTTTTCCCAGATGCCTCTATCTTATGTTTGCTTTGTTATGTAGGGCTTTGTTCTGTGTTTAAGTTTAGACTTTTCTAGCACAAATTGTATCTTTCTTTCGTTAAATAAGCTCATTTTTTTTTTTCAACCAAAAAAAAAGTCCGGGCCCACACAGAGATGAGCCCCACACAATAATAACTAATTTTAATGTTGGGTTGACCACCAACACTTTGTCAAAGGGCACCTAACAACCCAGACTGAATCAACAAACAAAACGCAGGCGGTGACGTCAACGGCTCTGATCAAGCCGCCCACCCTTTAATCAAAGGGCACGCATCTCGAGAGCCCGAACCAACCATGACACCGAGTGCATCCAAACTTTCCCCTACCCTCGAATTTCTGAAAACCCCGCTAAAACCTCGGGAAAAGAATTCAGCCACAATAAATAATTTTTTAACTTTATTAATTTCCCATTATTTTTTGGAAAATTTTGAAAAATATCATATAAAAAAAGAGAGATATTTATTAAAGAACTTTAACAAAAAATTTTCAATACTGTTCATTTCAACGAAAAATCATATTTTTACATTAAAAAATCAATTATGTAGTATTCACTTTACTTTTTATTTTCTTTTAAAATTCAAAATTTTCAAACTCCACCGTTAGTTTTCCTTGTTTATTAAGCTGGGAAAATTAGAAGTCAATCCGTCAAAAAGCAACGTTGAATTCAAGGTAGACGAGGAGATACGGTTTTTCAAGGAAATGTAAAACGGACCTGTTTTGAATCTCGGATCAGGTGGAGGCGGAGAGAAAAACACGTTTTTATTTGGCTCCTAAAAATAATGGACCAAAAATTATTAATTAATATAATAATATATTTTTGCAATCAGAGAAAATGATGTAGCAAAATCATTTTTATTTTCTCGGGAACCAAACACGGGAGCAAAAAGCTCTCCAGATACCAAACAAGGGTTTTTTTTTTTTTTTTCTTTCTCACCAACCAAACGGACCCTTCAGAATACAAGAAACTTTCTCAGAGTAGCTTCAATCAGAAATAACACAGCTGAATCAGATTCAAGAAAGATAAAATATTTTCAAAAATTCGATCGCAAAAATTAAAAATTTCTACCAGTTCATATCAAATTTCAGAATCGTATGTAACAAATCCAAACTGTAGAGGAAAGGAATCAGACCTGAATCAGTAATCTCGCTATCCGGCGACGCCTCTTCTTCGGCAACGTCATCGGCAGCGACAATTCCATTACTCTCCGCCACCTTCTCGTCACTATCCTTGTCTTTGTCCGCCTCCAAACACGACTTAACCTCGTCGCTCTTGCAATTTTCTTCTGCTCTCAAAACTGTCGCCGTTCTCCACGCACCTTTCCACCCTTACCTTCTTCGGCCCGACGTTTCGGAGCTCCACCATCACATCGGCAATGGAGTGGTACTTTTGCATCTGGAGCACCGGGATCCAATTGATCCTTCTCCGGTGTATGGCTGCGAAAACAGAGGCGTACTCGGCGCCACCTCCCCCGCTAAGCTGAGTCAGGTGGCCGCAGAGGGAATCGATGATTGCGTTTGCCGCCGCGAACTCTCCTCTGTACCACCCGATAATTGCGTCCTTCGCCAGCTGGTCAGATACCATAGTCACCGGAGCCTGCATCGGCATCATTGCGGGTCCCAACACGGGCGCGGCTCCATCAGTCGGCGACGCAGCTGGCCCAACCGCCATCGCCATCTATGTTACCGTTAATACCGAAATCAAATCCGTTCTCTTTTCTACGGACTCCGAAACCAAATATCGGATGCTTTTTTCCGGCGTTCGTCTCAGTAATCGTTCGATATTTTAGGAGGAGAGAGAGCAAAGAGAGGAGAGAGAGGTTGAAGATTCACATGGAGGGGTTTGGGTGGGAACTACATATATACTACCGGAGGAGTGAGAGCGGCTATGTCCTTGTCGGCGGGGACCACCGGTTGACGTGGCAATTTTGAGGTGGGGACGTGGCGTTGAACGATGTTTAGGGTACGGTTGGGCCGAATTGCAGGAAAGATTTTTCAATATAACCGGCATATTAGGTGGTACATCACGTGTTATTATATAAATAGTGAAATATGTGTGTTAAAAAGTTAATAACTTAAAAAATAAAATTTTCCACCATTTATATAAAAACACGTGATGTACCACTCGTATTCTCGAATTGCAGAGGCGGGGACGGTGTGTAAGTAAACTAAAATGACGGAAATGATCTTTTTGTAATTTTTTAATAATCCAACATCCCGATTAGCTTTTTTTTTTTTTTTTTTTCGAACTTTAACGAAAAACTACCAGTAATGTTCACTTTAATGAAAAACCATATTTTTACATTAAAAAGTCAATCTTGGTACTATTCACTTTACTCTTTATTTTATTCTTATCGTTAAAACTCAAAGTTTTCAAGCCCTTTTCATTAGTTTTTTTTTTCATAATTTTTTAATATTATTTTTGAGGGGTTACATGTTCGATTTTAATCAATATATTTGTGTTACCTATTTGTAATTAGGCTCGTCGCAATAGCTTAAATTTGTTATGCACTTTGTAATGTTGTAAAACTCACATTGAAGATGAAAAAATAAAAATAAAAATTTAATTTGAGCTTGGACCCAAAGTGGTAAGTTAATGGCACCGATGATGGCTAATAAATAAGATGATGAGTAAAAGCAGGTTAGGTTACGGGTTCGAAACTTCTAATAAAAAAAATTGGTAGGTTAATAATGTCGCTTTGTTTATCTTTTGGTAGCTTAGTGCCATTTTCACATTTCCAATTTATCTGCATTTTCATTAACATTTTTTGGTCTTAGTACTTTTCCAAAAGTTTAGAATTTTATTAAACATGAACCTTATTTTAAATGGTACCCTAATTTGGTGATTTGGATGAGTCTCAGCCTTATATTAATTCTAACCAAGTTCATAATTTTAGTCTTATAAAATTAAATATTGGGTGGATATTTCAATAACTAACTGAAAATGTATTGCAGAATGCGCGTACAGTTTATGATTTAATTCAAAGAATCCAAAGCATATTGTATGATTGATGATCAAATAATGAGTACTCGTATACCCGTTTTATTTGATCTCACCATAATGTAGAAGTGAGATTGGTAGTAATGATAATGGTGTAAAATGAAATCAAACTAAATAGATCTTAATAGGTACACATTAACAACTCAATGGATTGATTTGCCATCTCTAATGCCGAATGCCTATGCATAAATTAATGAGGAATTAGGTAATTCAAATGTCTAATATTGGATCTAATGAATATGATCGTAACTAGTTAATTAATCACTTATGACTAATTATTGAATAGTACATTTACACCTAATTGTCGTACGAACTAATTAAGAGCATCTCAACACCTTAACTAAATGAAGCTTTTTGGCTACTTTAACAAAAAAAAAAAAAAAGTGTTATTAGACCCATCCCAGTGTCTTATTTTCTCACTCACATGATAATCCCACCCACCATTATTTCCAAAATAACCATAATATTTTTTTTAAATAACTCTAATACATCTTTAAATAATATTATAATAAATAAATAAATAAAGAAAAAAAAGAGAAAGAAAATGCAAGATCTAAGACCTAGACATTCATCATCTCCTTCACACCTAACGCCGCCCTGCAGAGACCCTGGATCTCCAAACCACTCTTCTTCCTCCTTTTTTGTCAAAACCGCAAATCTCACACCCAATTCTCATTTTTCTCCATTGAAGTTTCTCACCTTCATCTAGCACACGCCCATTCCTTCCTCCAACCTTTCCGTCCATTCTAACCTAAATCTTTCCCAAACTCTTTCCACCAAGATATCACATCCCACCCACCATTATTTATTTATTATTTTAAATTATTTTTTGTTTTTTCAAAATTTTAGTACTGAATTAAATAGGGGTTTAAGAGTTTTCTTTTAAAATGATAAATATGTTATTAACATTTTCATTAAATGGTGGGTAGAGAAATAAGACATCAGGGTGGGAATTTCACCACTCAAAAAAAAAAAAAAAAAAACCTCCAATAGGCTGGCTAACTTTACAAACAATAATTAGCTAAATTTAGTTATACTTTGGCCAACGAATGGAAAGCTCTTTGGTTGAGATGATATAAATTGAAAAAGGATCCTTGCTTGATCCTTTTCTTGATAATCCGGGGATCCCATGATTATATCCGTTCATTGTATATCGTGCGGTCAGAAATTATTTGAAATTTAAAATTTAAAATTAAATATAAATAGTACCTAACGAAAACTGACTGCACGATATACGATGAAATGACACGATCACGGGATCTCCAAAACCCATGGGATCCTTTTCCGTATAAATTATCATGTAATCATAGTTTATACATTGTACAATGTGAATTCTTGTTTTTGGTTAATTAATTACTCTGCATTTTTGTCTTAGATCACCATTTGTAGCCTATCAATCATGAATTTTTTGGTTTACGAATAGTTGGCGTTGTTGTTTAAGGTAAGAAGAATATTAACGGATTAACGGTCCTTACTAATTAGCGTATTGCATGCATGTAACGATTAATAAATTCTTTCACCTAAAGCGTAGTTACGTGACCTCCGTTATATATTAAGTTATCGAAATCTTTATTTCTCCATTACTGATAAGTAAACAAGTCCTTAAATGAATTGTAACAAGTAATCGATTTGCTTGATCCATCATTTTAATCATCAACTAGTTATATGATAGTAATTTTCCAAGTATTCCATCCATGAAACACTTTTTAATCTATTTAGGATTTGTATTAGCACACTATTTTATACTAGTTCAATTCACAAAGAAGATATATTGACTTAATTTGATGAGATCATGGTTAGCTCAACTAGCATGCTAAAGCTTTGATGAGATCATTTACAATGAAGATTCATTGACCTAATGTTAATTAATGAATGCTCTTAACTAACTGTATTTATTTAACGGCTTTTTATCTAAAATGGTTCCTAAGATTGGCATGGCTCCTCATTTTGGTCTTTGAGATTCGAAATCGATAGAAATGGTTCTTGAGTTTCTCCACCATCAATTATTTTGGTCATTATGTGAAAGTTTTATGTTAAATATGACAAAAATATCCTCAATTTAATGAACAATGGTTAAAAATGATTTGACAAATTAAGGATATTTTTGTTATTTTATCCTTATTTAAAGTAGATTTCATGGAAGCACCAAAATGATTGATGGTGGACAAATTCATGAGCCACTTATATATATATTTTAAATCTCATGAACTAAAGTAAAGAGTTATGTCAATTTTAAGGATCATTTTGATTAAAAAGTCTTATTTAAACTTTAGAAAAAAGAAAGAAAATGTTGATAATGTATCTAAGAAAAAACCAAAACACACTACAGAAACACAAGAGGTGGTTTTGCCCATAATGCTATTTGACATCACTACAAGTAGGCATAACAAAATTTTATGACAAGACCGACCCAGAAAATGCCATATATGCGGTGCAGGGCAGCAACCCCATAACCAGGAAAGTTCGTTTTGGGTGGTAGGGTCCAATGAGAGAGCTCTCCATTGTTGTTGGCTTGTAGACGAGGAAGGAAAGTTGTGCGGGTCCCAAGACTGTAGGGTGGTGACCTAAAGTTTTAGGGTTAGCAATTTGTGCGTTCTTCTTTGTTGTGTCCACAGACTCCACTCTCCACCGAAGACATGGATGGATGGACGATAGCTTCTCAGCAGTTGCCACCACCATAAAAGACAGTAGTGGACTGCCAAATAATTAAGCCGGCTGGCTGTCTGGCTAAAAGCTGCTTATAACAAAGCCACTTACCAATCCGCTTATTGCTTTTTTACCTTTTTTTTTTCCTTCAGTTTTTGTGTTATTTTAGGGCAAGAACCTTTGTTATTCTTAATAAAGGTTTGCTGTCTAATTCTCTAACTCTGCATGAAAACAAAATAAGCAGCTTCTTTCATAAGCTTGACGTTTACCTGTCAATCCATGTGAGTTTATATCTTTATGTCATACTAATACTATAATGCACGTAAAACATCTGATTGACATTACATCCACATGAGAACATATCCCATTTTGTTTTAATTAGTACGTAACCCAACGTAGACTTCATTTCAAATTCAATTATGTGGTCTTTAATTGATACTCTAATGTTATCATAATTTCTTTCTTCTCTTTTTCAAAAGGGGACCAGTTGTTGGTTTTATACGGCAGTTGATCATTTTAGGGATAGAAAAGACTCACAAAGGCATTTCAGCCTCTCCTTGACCACCATCGTGCAATTCACCCACCGCTAGAAATTAACTGAATCCAGGACAATGCCGCGTGTAATACAGGTCTAAAATTCGTTGCAACCACTAAACCAGCATGTGGTGATTCTAATGTTATCATAATTAAAACTGAGAATATCATGAGATAGAACTTAATGCTTGTATTACAAGATCCTCCATATATATATATATATATAAGGTCGTTAATATATGAAGCTAGGGCTCCGCACGGACGCAAAACTTCAAAATGGAGTTGTTCTGAGCAAGTGAAACTAAAGTGGGGGAGGAGGGAGAGAGAAGGGACGGTATGCATCTTTTTAACAAGAGCATTTTCAGTCGTGTCTACTGCGCACTTTAACATATTTTTATTGAGTACGTTATTTGTAAAAAGAAGGGTTAGAGAATCCAATTTGGGTAAAAACATCTACACCTGTCTCAAATTCCTCATTAGTATGGCAAATTTTAATCTTCCAATTAGGATAAAAAGTTCTTGTTTCTAAAA